ATATTGTGTCTAGATTTACCCTATTTATCATGATTATATTGTGTCTAGGGTTACCCTATTTATCATGTACTTGTGTATCAATTTATTCTTATAAATAGAAGATTGTGAGAGGGATCAATTAAGCCCTCTAGAATTATTTTACAGTTTCAATCTTAAGTGAGAATTCATTATGAATGGTTGTATATGGACCTATCAACATCTCATCCAATTGTTCATGACCCTATTGCCTTCAGCCACAAGCATGACAATTTGGATTTGGAACCTTACTTTAATGGTGGAGTTGTTAGCGACACATCAGAGAAACATGACAAGGATTTGAGCATATCTTGTAAAATGGATGTTTACTTCTATCACCTCATACCAATAGACTATTAAAAATTGAATTTTCAATTAAATCATGACAGGCTTCATGAGTTAGGTGAGAACAAAAATGACACCATATTATTTATTGGGAAACTTATTTAATGTTGAGGGATTAAAGAGGAATAGATTTTCCAAATCATGTAACTAAAACATTTCTTTAGGTCTGTATAGCCTAAATGTGTATTGGAATTGCCAATTGTGGTAAGAATGATACGTATTACAAATTGTAGCATACTCACATGCATGGCTATGAGGTTTGCCATTTATAGCAAGCGTCATCCATATTATAATTTGTAGCATAATGGTATGAAAATCCAATTAAAAAGGGCTCACCTATTCCATGTAAGTTTATTTCACATGAATATGTTTCTTTTCCACCACTGGCTTTAAACTATTTTAACTAAAATAAATAAATCTAAGAATCTTCATTCTATCACTGTACTTATGCTACAAGTTGCATCTACTAAGCATATTAAACAAGACCATTGTTATCTTTCTTTCTGCTTAGATATCACTTATCACATTTAGATTCACTGTATTAAAAATATTCCCTAAAACACTACATACGAAAATAAATAGAACAAAGAATAAAAAACCAAAAATATATTTAAAAACAATAAAAAAAATTAATCTTCACTCATCATAAATTCACAAATGAATACAACACAAACAATATAGAAATTCTGGGCCACTACTTCAAAAGATTGAAATGAAGAACAACCTGGATATCAAGCACTGCCTCTCCAGTTCGAGTTGGCTGACTGCCTGCTTCAGGGACCAAATTTTTTGCTTTATGACACTACAATTGACCATTTAAACCTTAGTAAAAAAAATGGTGGAGAAATAAAATTGAATCCGAGAAACACTTAACAATTAACAACTATCAAATTAAACAATCATTGGATGCTAGTTGACACTAGAAAATATTCCCATACCTCGTCAAAAATTATAAGACCGTCAAACCCTGGTCCACACCACTGTACAAGCTGCTGGAGACGAGTACGACCTTTCTCAGAAGAGGCTATGAGACTATTGTACGTCAAGAAAACAACTCCCTCCCTGATCCCAACAGACTTTGAATCAAGCTTAGAATAAGGAAGTTTGTTCAAAGCATGCACTGGATAGAGGGAAAACAAAAGGAAGATATTTAAATTTGAAACAATTTTGTGATATAGATACAATAATAACAATTAATTTTTAAACTAAAGACTTCAAAACAGTTACACAAACACCTCAAATGGACTACAAAAGAAAATTTACCCCAGGATGATAACAAAACAGCAGAAAACTTTCATTTTTTGGATAAAAAGCAAACTAGAGGTAAGAGTGTGCACAAGAGGAGGTTAATAACAAATGTGACTCCCAAAACAGAGGAGGGTAAGCAAAATTCTATTTTAAGAAGACGCAAAATAAAGGAATCACGAAGATAACAGTGTTAATCTAATTGAAAATCACTGGCCATGAACCACCTACCTACACATCCAAAATCCCAATTCTGTGAGATATTGGGCAAAACTACCACCCAATGAAATACCCACCCCTCACATGTCCCAGAAATGAAAACAAAAATATCTAAAAATATGTATTAAAATATTCGTAATGAGAATTACTTTTGCAAATGTTATGTATTTAACTTAACAGGCAAACAGGCTCATCAAAACATAAGTAATAAATACAACCTTGTCTGTATATAATTTTCTAGGAAAATACCTTCAACACATGCTGCACCCACATCATCCAAGTCTCTTCTAGCATCAAACTTCAAGTCTGAACCAACAGAAATCCACCTGTGTAAGATCATTGGACATGTGACAAAAAGCATCAAAACAACAAAACTCCGAGAGCATCTTAGTTTTCAATAACAACCATAATTTCATGTGGATGCCATGACCCAAACTTACAAAGCTTTCCTCCTTCCATGATGCCAGTTCTCCCAAATTAGCCCTGCAATTGTTCGACCTTTACCGACACCAGCTCCATCTCCAACAAAGAATCCTGCCCTAGCTCCATTTGGGAGATGTTGAAGGTGTCTCTGTCATAAAAACCAACATCATACACAGGAAAGGCAAAGCAAAACATGACCATATATTGTCAATTTATCATAGAAGAAACCTGACAAGCATAGACCAATGTCTCAATTTGCAAGCACGACAAAGTCTTAGATCTCTCCAAATCATCTTTAATTTTTGGATCATAAGTTGGCTCAGGCGGCTGCACTGCAGACAAGGAAGATGTCTCCACAACAGGATCTGGATGTGGAGATCCAATAGATACTTTTGGTGGTCGCTGCACAAGGAGACATTTCAATACCACTAAAATGTGCTAGCATAACATGAAATAACAACTGAAATAATAATCCACAAATTATAAAGTTCTAGCAAACAATGCTTTCAAAAGGAGACAATTAGTAACTCACATAATCTGTAAATGTTTCACCAACCATGCCACCTTCATCCTCGTCCCGCTCCACTTCAACAGCAACCTGATTTAATTGAATACATTATATAAAAAAATAAAAATCATTGATATAAGGACAATAAAATGTACAAATAACATATTTTGAAACAATGGACCTTCATAAAAACAAAAAAAAAAGACAAAAATTAAATTAATAAAAGGAAACATCACAAGGAGAACTGGAGAAATAAATAAATATCAACAGAGGTAGGGGACAATCCATTTTTTTACTGGGGGCATAATGCATGTTCACATATTGATTGTCCTTCTCAAAATCAAAAACGCAAAAGATCCTATTCTGAAATAAATACACATATGCAGTATAGATACATGCAAAAGAATAAGGAACCCTCTAAGGTCCTATGTACACATTAAAAATAGAGGTAAGAAAAAAAAAACAGAAATAACATTGACTCAAAAGAGCAATCAAGCCCCTAGGTAGCCATAACCTATATAAATAAACCGTGAGCAGAATAATGTTAGCAATAAACTTCTTCCCTAGATTTTGTTGGACAGGCTTGTCTTCCTGATCCTAGCCTCATATTTCTCATTGGTAGGTCCCAGCATGTAAAGCAAAATAGCAGGCCCGAGGTATCGAGTGTCTATAATAGGAGGAACAAGAAATAACAGATAGATCTGTTTTCGATTAAGGAAGTTAACATTTATTACTGTTTTGTATTTAATATTAAATACTAATTGAAAGATAGGAATATGTTATACATTAAAGCTGGTATCTTTTATATTGTTTCGTTTTTAGGATAGCATTATCTAGGGGATCAATAGCAGGTAGGCTAATCTGGAAAGTTGTTAAGGAGTAGTATGTAAAAGGGATGCAGGAGTCTGTCAGGGGTCATGCTTAGTTATTCTCTAAGGAAATCAATAGGAGCTTATGCTTTGTGAATCAGGGTAGCAGATCTCCACTCGTAATTCTTTTATTTCAATAAATTAGTTAGTTGTATTCCTGAGACTCAATCACTTCCAGAGTTCATTGAATGTTTCTAGATCATACTTGCAAATGACTGGCAGGCTGTGCTCAAATTTAATTGTTTCTTTTGCCATTCAATTTAGTCCCTCCTTCCATCTCAAATCTCACATGAGATGATTGAACATAAGATCTCAATGCATTCTTCGCATTATACAAGACACCTAGGGTCAGCTTACTTGAGTAGGTGAAATTTGGGAAGAGGAAAAAAAAAGAGGATAGAGTGAAATTATTTTCAAGGAAAAATTTACCTCAGTGAAAAATCAGTGCATTTTATTTCCCAGCCCCTATTTCCATTAACCAAAAAAGAATAAAGTTATTTCGCTGCAAATTTTCCACATACCCATTTTCCACCAACTCAACAAAGGTCTCAATGAAAGAATTTACGTAAAAGGGAAGGATGGTGATAAGCACCCAATTAGATGGTTAAATTCTTGTTTCTAAATTTATTTATTAAAAAAATGCTCATAAAAATGTGGATGGTTGAATGCTCACACAATAATCCATCATTCTATTCCACATTTATTATACACGAAACATCCACAAATATAAGTTCAGTTCCTCACTCACCAAGGCACTAACACTAAACACCTTTACCATAAAATAATAACAAGATTATGTGCATGGAAGAAGCAAAGAGGCAATAAATCCAACAGCATAGAACCACATAAGGACACGATAAGTACCTTAACAGGAAAATCCATTCCCAGCAGCAGTAATTCCCACTTCCCTAATTAACAAACCACTCCCCCGACACCTCCCCCCAAGAAATAAAATAAACCATCCTATTTCTTAGAATAATTACTAAGTCTACTTGTTAGTGTAGTCAGTAGGACTAAAATAGGGGTTAGTGTGTTGGGTTATCTCTAATCATTGTACCTAGCAGTCTAGAACAGTGACTTGACCTTCTATCTCTTTATTGTATCAACTCTTTATCTATATAAATAACAGAACATGAAAGGTGTCTTTCAAGCCCTCAAGAACATATTTTTATCTCAAGTTGGTATCAGAGCAGGTTCATCCTGCTCTGGTTTCTGTCCTAAACTGGTCCACCAGCATTGTCATTGTTGTTTGCATCTATCTGGTGCCCATTGCCGCCGTCCGCAGTTGTCTTGCCACTGTCTGCAGCTGTCAACTGCAGTTTGAAGCTCTTCAACTTGGTTCTCAGCCATCTCGCATCTGTCTGCCACCGTCCGCCGTCGTCTGCCGTCAATGTTCCGTCCGGCGACCACTTGATCTGGTTCGCCTTGACGACCAACCCCACCGGTGTCGGCGTCTGATTCTTCCCCACGCTCTGCCACGCGCTGCCACGCGCTGCTTCTTTGTGCGCTGCAAAGAGGCGCGTGCAGCTCACGCGCCGCCCTCTGGCCACCGGAAAGTCACCGCAACACATCCAAAGTCGTCGCCTAGACCTCCTCTCTCTGCTCTGCCCCTCAAAATCCTGCTTCAGTGAGGTCCAGAAGCTCCCCTTGAAGAAAACCCTAAGAAACCCCAGGGTTTTCTAGTTCCTCTCGGTTTTCTGGCTCCTTTCTGGTTCCTCTCCTATTTTTATCAACAATGGCGTCTGGAAGTGTTCTTTCTTTCTTTGGAAGTCCCTCAATTACTTCCGAAAATCTAAACAGAAAGAATTACCTCTCTTGGTCTGCTGCCGTTGAAATGTGGTTTCTCGGTCAAGGACATTATGACCACCTTGAGCAGGATGGAAGCCAAGTACCTTCTGAAAAAGCTGAACAATGGGAACATGTAGATTTCCAATTGTGTGCCCCATTGTGGCAATCTGTGGAACCCCGACTTTTGATATCTCTTAGAGCCTTCAAAACATGTCACTCTTTTTGGAAGAAAGCTCAAAGCATTTATGCTAATGATATTCAACGTCTCTATGATACAGCAAACAAGCTTGCATGTCTCAAAATGACAGACCATGATATGGTCTCCTTCATGATTGAAGCCCAAGCAGCTGTGGAAGAGTTGAGAATGTTCTTGGAAGTGGAATCTTCGAAAGACATCAAGAAGAAGCTTGACAAGTATTATATGGTGATGATCCTCCGTGCTATACACCCTGATTTGAATCATATCAGAGATCAACTTCTGACAAGTCATGAGGTCCCTTCCTTGGAAGCCTTGACCACACGTCTTCTTCGTGTTCCAGTGCCTCAATCTCAGGAAGCTCCTGAAACAATGGAACCATCTGTCATGGTTGCTACGCTGAGAAGAGGAGGACGGGGCACTAGAGGAGGAGGACGTGGAGGTAGTGGACGTTCATAGTGCACTTACTGTAAGAGGATGGGTCACACTCAAGAAAACTTCTACTCCTTGCATGGTTTTCCTTCAAAAACAGCCAATATCTCTAAGGCTGAAACTCCCACTTCCAACTCCAAGTTCACTGAGGAAGTGTATCAAGAGTATCTGCGATTAATGTCTAACAGCTTGGCGCAATCATCTCAATCCCCAATTACATCCACATCTTGCATTTCTCAATCCATGGAAGGTCAAAATTCATGGGTAATTGACTCGGGTGCTTCTAATCACATCTCTGGTAATACCTCATTGTTCTCAACCCTTTCCCTCCAAGAAAAACCCCATTTCATTACTCTTGCAAATGGCTCTAAAACTTGTTCAAAGGGAGTCGGTCAAGTCTCCTTGTCTCCCTCTCTAACTCTAAAATCTGTTCTTTTTGTCCCTAATTGTCCATTCAATTTAATTTCCTTAAGTCAGTTAACCAAAATGTTACATTGTTCAATAACTTTCAATTCAATCTGTATGCTCCAGCTTGAGGGGGAGTGTTAGAATAATTACTAAGTCTATTTGTTAGTGTAGTCAGTAGGACTAAAATAGGGGGTAGTGTGTTGGTTTATCTCTAATCATTGTACCTAGCAGTCTAGGACAGTGACTTGACCTTCTATCTCTCTATTGTATCAACTCTTTATCTATATAAATAACAAAACATGAGAATTATTATCTTCTTTACTTTATCAATCATCAAGCATATTGTACTTCCAGTTTCTTAATTCGCCCTAAATGACATTCTTCTTCCTTTTTTAAATGTAAATTCATTCTTGCTACAACTTTACCTCATCCACCAACAATAAAGCATATTCCTCTTCCTTTTCATAATGCATGCTCATCTTCATCCTTGTAGCTAAACCATCATATCAACTACCATTACTCCTCACTGTATGTCCTCCACATCAATCATGAAATGCTGCACCCACTTGACTAACTACCAAGCACATTCTACTACATTATATAATACTTGTTCAATCCAATAAGCAACAATTACCATGTCAAGTTTTCAGCTGTAAACAAAACTTACTGTAGATCCTCCATATCAATAAAGACAAACCAAAGTACACATAGAATCACAAACTCCTTTTCATAATCCTCATTCATCCTTACTGGCAGCATATTAATATCAACCACCCTAAAATTCACACCCTATCAAATATGCTCCATATCGATCAAGACGAAATAAAGTATACATAAAATCCCATTATCATGCAAAACCAAATCAAGGCTTCCTCTTAATCATCCCCATTTCTCCTTACTAACATATTCACATTAGCAACCATTCATCATACCCATATTCTGCTTTCTTATTTCTTCATCCTCATTAGAAACATTATTATATCAACTGCAATCACAATCCTACTTCATATTGTAGGTCCCCTATAGCAACCAGGACAAACTAAACTGTACATAGAAATCACACTGTAACCTAAAATAACACTACAGAGTAACATTATAAACAACAAACTTTCTATATTTGTGTGTGCCCAATAATCAAGGCAAACTAAAGTACTCTTAGAAATCCAAATGTAACCTAAAATTACACTACACACAAACATTATAAAATCAACCACACTTAAAATTGTATGTCCCAATATAAATCATCGAAAAATGAAGTACACATAAAAACCCAAATGTAACCTAAAATCACCGAACACACTGACATTATAACATCAACCACAATCACAATCACACTTTATACTGCATGTCTTCTGGTGTGTTTGTTTGTCTCAACGGAAACCACCTTATACCAATAAGAAACAAAAATTTGCTTTTACGTTTGGCCTGATGAAATGTGTGTTGACCGACTAAAGCTTTCCAAACATGCTCCTCGGTATCAATAAAGACAGACAAAGCATTTGTCAACCATCAAGCATACTCATATTCCACTTCCTTGCTTCTTCATCCTCATTGGAAGCATTATAGTATCGACCACAATCACAATAACACTCTGTATAGTATCACACTTTATATACTATATCCCGAATATCAACCAGAACGAAGTAAATTACACACAAACCCTACCGTGACCTAGAATCACACTACACAGTAAACCAATAGCACCGTTCCTGTTCGGTACTTCTCAATCACCGAAATCGTCAATTAGCAGCAAAGAAGAAACAGAAAGGAGGCAAACCTCGTTAACTTCTTCAGGCGGAGGAGCGGCGGGGAAGAACTGCTTCACCTTGGAGACATCGACGGCTAGGTCAACGTTGCACTGAGGGCAAGCGAAGCGCGCAAGGCCGTGAGGGACGTTGAGGATGGCCTTACAAGAAGCACAGGGAAGCTGGATCTTAGTGGGATCAATGCCGTGTGCAGGAGCGTGCGGAGGCTGCGACGGCGGAGCGGACGTCGGAGGCACCGATGTAAGCGCATTTGCTGCGGCGGCGCGCTCCCTAGGCATGAGCTCCGGCGGAAGCATCTGCGGCATCCGGCAGGTAGGGCAGGCGAACTCCGTGAGGCCAGGCGCCACTGTCAGGATCATTCGGCAGCCGGCGCAGCGCACGCGAACGCTCTCGGTCTGCTGAGGTGGCGGGGGAGTTGTCGGTGGCGGTGGCGCCAGCGGCGGAGGCGGAGGCGCTGATGGTTGTGTCATTTGGGAGGAGAGAGCGCGAAAGGGTTTTTCCTTTGGGAAATTGCGTTTGGCGGGCAGCCAAGGTTTTTCTTTTCTCTATTTTCTTCCTCTCTTCTCTCTTTCTGCCTTTGTTTGATTTTTAGATGTTGTTGATGTTGGCGTGTGAGAGAAGCCCAAAAGAATTTCTTATGGTCGAAGTTGGGAAATGGGTATTGGGGAGTTTGGCGTTTAAGGAAGTTGGGCTCACTTCTTTTGAGCTTCCCAATGGCCACGTGGCACTCACGTGATAGAGCTTGACAGTTTTTTCTATTTGCGTTATTTAATTTTAATTCACTTTTTCTTTTATTTAAAAAGACTAATTTCTCATAAAGAATATGATATTAAAGTCATGTTTCGAATTTGTAATAATTTTCTTCTCAACCATAATAAAAGATAAGTTCAATCAACATAAAAGTTTCACCATGAATCTTTTATTTGTTATTCAACTTTTTTAATTTTAGTTAATATAAAACTTAAATTCATATTTTAACTTTTAATCTACACTAAATTTTATATTTTAATTTATATTAATATATCAAAATCAGTATATTAATATATTTTAAAGTTAAACATAGTTTCATGAAGAAACTTCAAAACCGATAAAATCAGTATATTCAACAATTTATTATTCATGAACAAACTTTAAAACCAATAAAAACAACACATAATCTACATGAAAAGACAAACACAACAAAAGTGGTCCCTATTGAGATATTCATGTCATGCACTTTTGCTCCTCATTCAAAAGGTGTGATAACAAAAGGTGTGATAACAAATAAGTTTAAAAGTCTCAAAGGAGGAAGACTCCATTAAATGGAGTAAACAACTTTAGCATTTGTAATCTTAGAAGTGGACTTCAACTAGCTATCAAATGTTTACTATATTCATGTTATTCAAGTATAACCTGACACACAATTTGATAAACAAGAAGATTTTGTCTATGAATTCATTCTTCATATAAAGGTTGAATGACTATTACAACCTTAATGTGTACTTTAATCCTAGGATCATGGAAATTTGAACAAAAATATGTCAAAAATATAAGAAATCAATTTAATATTGGTTTCAAAAAAAAACTCAAGACACTTGTTCAACAAAGTTTCATGATAAGGTTAAAATCATAAGATATTATTTTGTGATGTATTTAATTTAATGTTTGTTTTTTAGTACAAATATATTTAATGTACTTATGCATTTAGATTTAGATTAAGTAGATTTTCTTGAAAAATTTGAAATTGAATTTTAGTGAAGATTTAAATACTTATAAAACTAATACTTTGTGAAAAAATGTTTAATCAAGACTTAAATTTTAGTTTTCAAATATTCTTTTTGTAACATTCCATTTTAATAGCATAAAACTACTAAAATAAAAAGTCGCATGGATGATGACTTACAAGAAACCTGAGGCTTCTAGAGAAGGAGATTCTACACTTGAAATCAAAACTTATCTACCATGTGCTTCATCATCCTCCTCACGCTAAAATAACTATAAGATGTCCTCCATAAGCTCGCACCCATTAAGGTGATCAAACCAAAAGAGAAACATACACAAACAAACAAAGACAAAAACAAAGATAAGCTAATGATAAAACAATTATACATAGTAATATGTAGTTTAACATACAATACCAATCACACAAATATTTGAAAAAGCGACGTTTGGCGGCACTTACTCAAGCTTGGCCAAAGCCTTTACAATCTAGTATAAATGTCGAGTCATGGAAAAGTTATGTACTTGTATGGTGGAACAGCTGACCTACTCAAAGCTGCCACACAAGGTTAGTCCTTGAAATACGTCCTTTGTCACCATGAAGAAAGGAACCCAGGCTAGGACCTCCTACTCCTCTCACGACATGATTCATCATTTTGTAATTGAGCATGGATGATCATTAGAGTGTCAGGATAACCTCCATATCGGCTTCTTACAATTTATACTAATTCCACATGAAATCCCCAAATAAGAAATTCCTCCTTGGAACTCTTTTCACATGATACTCAAAATTCATACCTCACATATTATTTGAACATCATCATCACATCATCATCACATCTCATACATAATCATATTCATATACATATACTTCACATGAAATCTGTCCTTATACAACCCTAAACCCAAAAACACCCTTACAAGTAATTATAAGTCAGATAATAACACAATCTTCTTTAAGGCATCTTATTACCCACATTCAGATAAGGAAAACTGCTTTGAAACTCTCACCAACAGTTTCGGAAGGGTCCAAAACGACCTAAAAAACATCCAAAACGGACATCCAGAACCCTAAAAGCTCCCTAAAATTATTGCAGTGCAGTCCAGTGATGCCCAACAGCACCACATCGTGCCACCCAACATCCTCCAACTAGTCAGCTAGCGCCTAGCGGCGCACCACCGTATCGCTCAACGGTATGACAACAACTAAACCACTTTGAATTAAACTTTTGGGACCCTACCCTCAACTTCTAAAGACCCCTAAGACCCTCTAGAACTTTAGAAAACTTAGAGAACCCTACTATAACTCAAATTGACACTTGAAAACCCATTTTTCACTTCTACAAGCTACCCAATTTCTTTTATACTCTTTTAAACCCTCAAACCAGATTGCAACCTGCATAATCAAGTCCAATTTCACTTGTTAGCACACTCCAAAACCACATAATACTCCCAGTTGTCTTACTTCTAATTTTCACCCTTTAGAACCCCTAAAATAGGCTAAAAACTCAACCTATGAAGCCATTTTCCATTTTAGAACAGATTTTACTGGTTTAATCACCTAGACAAGTCCTAATAGGTGTCATTACAAACCTCTATCCTTCCAAAAAAGTGCAGACCACTTACATCACCATTTCACTACTCAACACCCTCTTTTTACACCAAAATCACTTGAAAACAACCCTTATACACTACCTATACAGTTTCTAACCATATAACCTTCCTAACAAGTTCTAAATTACCTCATGACAGTACCAAAACATATCTCATAACATTCCTACCTATTTCTAAATTTCATTACCCAAGACCCCTTCTTTTAAGCTTGAATTATAAGTAACTTGAATACTACTCTCACAAACACTTGAATTATGTTTCAAACAATGAAATATCCTCATCACACACAAATAAAATAGTATACAACAACACACACATCCTCATACCCATATACAATAACACCATATCATCAAAACACAAATTTAAAATACGTCAACTTTACTCAAACACTAATTTTTACTAAAACGTCTACAATTTATAAAATTACTAAATTTACACTACAAATACAATTAAGATAAGGTCTAGCTTCCCTTACCTCAAAATAACAGCTCAACCCACAGATGACTTAGGAGCAAGAACATTTAGAGAGAAGGCAGAGAACTCTAGAAAAATGGTTTATAGAGAGATGGTATGTTTTCAAAATAATGAAACTCTTATAACTAAACTATTTATAAATAAATCATTTAATATTAAAATAACTGAGTCTCACTATTTTTAAATTATCATCACTTTTAAAATATATACCATTTTCTTGGATTTTACATTTTTCAAATATTTTCTATTATTAATAATTTTAGTATAGCTAATTTGATTGCAATCTAAATAACTTTGTATCATTTTAAAAGTATGTTGTTGTTGTTTTCACAAATTTTATTATTATTTTTAAACATTTATTAAATTTGCAAAGTTAATAAAACAAAGTTGATCAAATTTAAAAATATTTTTAAAAAATTACAACAAATAAAAGATAATCAAACTTAAAAATAGGTTTATTCATTCTAGTGGTCCCTGTTTTTGTTGGAAGTCGCATATCTGTCTCTCATTTTTTTGTCTCAGCTGGGTTCCTATTTTTGAAAAATTGAAGAAATTAGGTCTTTTTCATTAATACAATACTAACATCGTTAAATAGGATGTCACATATGAGTTTGTGATTTTTTTTTTATTTTTTAAATATTTTTTAATAATTTATTTATATTTAAAAAATATTGTCATGTGTCAAACTAATGTTATGTTATATGATAAAACGCATCATTGCATTAGTATCAATTTGGTCTTTATATTTTTATTTTGTCTCAATTTAGTCATAGTTTTTTTAGATTAAACAATTTTGTCCCTTACCAAATTAAAACGAAGTTTAGTTTTTATCTAAATGTACACAAATATTTTTATTAAAATTGATATTTTTATTAAAAGTTTTTAACAAGATTAAGTTTGTTTGTATTTTACATTGAGTTAATTTTATAAGTGTTAATTATGTTCTTTAAATATACTTATAAGAGTTCAAAAAAGAGTGACGTGACCAAGGTTATCAAACTTGCGAGTTAACTCGTTAACTCGGACGAGTTTGCGTTCCTAGTCAAGGTTGCCGAGTTAACTCGGTAGTAAACTCATTTTTTGAATGAACTCGGCGGGCTTGTAAGCGAACTCGGTGAAAACGTATAAAATCATGATTTTGCCGCGATTTGACGAGTTTAAAATGGGTAGAAACGAAAAAAGAAACAATTCATTTTGATTTTAGTATTTGATACCTTATTAAGGTTCCTCTTCATTCTCATAGTGCTTCACTCCAGTTTGCGGTCGTGGTCGCGTTTCATCTCCTCGCTTTCGCGCTTTGTCCGACCATCGTTCTTGGTCGCGTTTCGTCCGCTCCAGTTCGTGGTTACCGCTCATAGCATTCTCATTTGTGGTCGCGCTCCGGTGGCCTGGTTTGCACTCTCCATGCTGTCGTCGTCGTAGTGTCGCCGTCGCAGCTTCTAGTCTCGCAGCTTCAGGTCTCGCTCCTTCCGGTTCACACTTTGCGTGTTTTTTATTTTAAACAATACAGCCCCTATTACAGCCCCTTCATGCCATGCCTTTTATTAAAAAAGTGTTTTTTATTTTAAACATTATGGTCCCTTTGTTATACTGTCATGCCATGCTTTTTATTAAAAAAATAATTTCTATTGTCTGTCATGGTCTTGTCATGCATTTTATTGAAAACATAATTTCTATTGTCATGGTCTTGTCATGCTTTTTAACACTGTGTCTGATTTTTGATTATGCGATTCACGAAGTCTACTCTCATGGATTTTTTTTCTGATATTGGATGTTTCGGGAAATCGATCTGATATTGGATGAAAACATGGATTTGATGTTAATGGTAATGGAAGAAAAGTAAAATGCAACTATTGCTCAAAGATTGTAAGTGGAGGCATATTTAGATTTAAGCATCATCTTGGTGGAACTAGGGAAGATTCTGAACCTTGTGCTTTAGTTTCAGATGAAATAAAAAATTTGATGATAAAAATAGTTGCAGAAGCTAAGAATCCTTCATCAAGGAAAAGAAAGATAACTATTGGTGAAAATGAGGAAGAAAGTGAGAATCTTGAAGGAGGACACATGATATTCGGTTTTAAAGGAAAAGAAAAAGTTACTACTACTAGCAAGGGGGGAGTCCAAGCAACTATAAATCAAATGATGAAAAAAGGATACAAAGAAGAAGTTGATGCTTAAGTGGCTGAATTCTTTTACACCAGTATCATTCCTTTTAATGTAATTAGAAACCCAGCATTTGCAAAGATGTGTGAAATGATTGGTAAGTATGGAGGTGGATACAAACCACCATCTTATCATAATATTAGAGAGAAGATCTTAAATAAGTTGTGAGGAAAACAAATGCAAATCNGTCATGGTCTTGTCATGCATTTTATTGAAAACATAATTTCTATTGTCATGGTCTTGTCATGCTTTTTAACACTGTGTCTGATTTTTGATTATGCGATTCACGAAGTCTACTCTCATGGATTTTTTTTCTGATATTGGATGTTTCGGGAAATCGATCTGATATTGGATGGAAACATGGATTTGATGTTAATGGTAATGGAAGAAAAGTAAAATGCAACTATTGCTTAAAGATTGTAAGTGGAGGCATATTTAGATTTAAGCATCATCTTGGTGGAACTAGGGAAGATTCTGAACCTTGTGCTTTAGTTTCAGATGAAATAAAAAATTTGATGATAAAAATAGTTGCAGAAGCTAAGAATTCTTCATCAATGAAAAGAAAGATAATTATTGGTGAATATGAGGAAGAAAGTGATATTCTTGAAGGAGGACACATGTTATTCGGTTTTAAAGGAAAAGAAAAAGTTACTACTACTAGCAAGGGGGGAGTCCAAGCAACTATAAATCAAATGATGAAAAAAGGATACAAAGAAGAAGTTGATGCTTAAGTGGCTGAATTCTTTTACACCAGTATCATTCCTTTTAATGTAATTAGAAACCCAGCATTTGCAAAGATGTGTGAAATGATTGGTAAGTATGGAGGTGGATACAAACCACCATCTTATCATAATATTAGAGAGAAGATCTTAAATAAGTTGTGAGGAAAACAAATGCAAATCATGAGGAATATAAGGAGGAGTGGAAGAGAACTAGATGTACAATTATGTCTGATGGTTGGACGGATAGAAAAAGACGTTTTATTTGCAACTTCTTGGTGAATAGTCCTAAAGGGACATTTTTTTCTTTATTCACTTGACAATTCAGACATTTAAAAAACAACTGATAAAGTTTTCAAAATGTTGGATGATGTTGTCAAGTTTGTTGGACAAGAAAATGTTGTTCAAGTGTCATTGATAATGCTGCAAATTTCAAGGCAGTCGAAGAGTTGTTGATGCAAAAAATGGAAAAATTATATTGGACTCCATGTGCAACATATTGCATTGATTTGATATTTGAAGATTTTGAAAAGAAATTGAAGGTCCATGAATTGACCATAAAGAAGGGAAGAAAGATTATAACTTACATTTATGGGAGATCAATGTTGATTTCCTTGTTGAAAAAGTTCACTAAAGGTAGAGACTTGATAAGATCGGGTGTGACTAGATTTGCCTCAACTTATTTAACTTTTGCTTGTCTTCATGAATTGAAGGCATCATTGTTGACCATGTTTAGCTAAGAGGAATGGAAGACAAGCAAGTTTGGAACTTCACAAGAGGAGAGAAAAGTATAACATGTGGTATTAGATAGCCGGTTTGGAAGAATGTCTCCACATGCTTTAAAGTTGTTGCCCCTCTTATGGTTGTCTTAAGATTAGTGGACTCGGATGTAAAACCTACAATGGGTTTCATTTATGAAGAAATGGATTGTGCAAAGAAGAATATTAAGTCTAACTTTAACAACATCAAAAAGAGGTAAATTTTCAAGCTTTTACTCATTCAATGTTTAATTACTTATACGTGAAATTATTTATGATATAGCATAATTGATGTAGTTATGAAGATATTTGGAGAATAATTGATGCTCGATGGGATAATCAACTTCATAGGCCTTTGCATGTAGCTGCCTATTATATGAACCCCCATTTCCACTATGAACCTAACTTTAGATATGAAGATGGTGGAGAGGTGAAAGAAGGATTGTATATTTGCATGAGAAGATTGATACCAGATATGGCAGAAAGAAAAAAAAATTAATTTACAAATTGTTGAATTTTATTATGCTAGAGGACTTTTTGGAATGAAAAATGCAAACGAGTGTAGGAAAAAGTTAAATCCTCGGGAATGGTGGGAATTGTTTAATGGTGGAACTCCGGAGTTGAAGAGATTTGCTATTCGAATTCTAAGCTTGACTTGTAGTTCTTCTGGATGTGAGCATAATTGGAGCTCATTTGAAATGGTAATTTAAATTATTTTTAATTTATAAATTTCTTTATTATGCTTATATCTTCACTAAAAATATTATATTTCATATTAGGTTCATACAAAGAGAAGGAATTGTTTGCATCAAAAAAAGATGAATGATTTAGTTTATGTGATGTATAACTCCAAGTTGAAAAGTAGACAAATTTGAAAAACTATAACTCTTCCATTTGATGACATTGAATTAGATGATGAATGGATAACTGAAGAGGCAAATGATGTTGTTGAGATTGAGCAAGTTGAAGGTGAAAATGATGGTGAAAATGTTCACTTAGGTGGAGCAACAACAGATCCTGCTATAGATACTCTTGATCTTGATAACATAACATTTGGGGACAATGAGGATGCACAACATTCATTAGTTTAAGAGTTTGATGATGATGATGATTGAGATGATGATGCCATTATTAGAGGATTAGAGGATTAGACATAGAGACTTTGACATTTCAATTTATGTTTTACAATATTTCTATGAACTTATGTATTTGAATTTATATAATTTTGTTATCTTATTTGAATTAAGATGTTATTTATATATATTTTTTTTCATGTAAAGTAAACTCTTACGAGTTTACGAGTCGAGTTTACTGGACTCTCACGAGTTTACGTAAACTTTTGAGTTTGACAACTTTGGACGTGACACACTAGTGTGGATTTTTCTAATAATGTGGCTCAATGAACAAGTTTATGACATGGAACTTCACTTTTTTAAAATAAAAAATTAGAGAAATTTTTTGGAAACCCTAATTAAAGGTCGTATTTTTTGCTCATTCTTCTTGTTTTTCCATGCCCTTCCATACTTTACGTGGCACACTAATGTGGATTTTTCAGATGAAGTGGCTTAGTGAACAACTTAATGATGTGGATTTTCACTTTTCTAGATAAAAATTAGAGAAATTTTGTGGAAACCCTAATTAAATGTCGTTGCTCCTTCTTCTTCTTTCATGCTCTTCCACACTTTTTCACATCTTATTTCAAATCTTACTTGTTACAATGAGAAGCATTGGTGTCTTGAAGATATTATGGTTTTGATGATGCTACAAGATGAAGAACTTGAAGACTTTTGTTTTACTTATTTTAAAAGCATTTTGTAGATTTAATTGTATAGGAATTACTTTGTTGATGTAAGAACACTTAGAAGTTTTCCTGTTTAGAGAGTCTTTGCGCAGATAATCGATTATTGGGTGTGATAATCGATTATCATGAGCCTGTTTGGAAAAGAGTTGCTCAAATAATCGATTATTGCTCAAGATAATCGATTATTCCAGTCTGTGTCAGTATTGCCTAAGTCGCGCAAATAATCGATTATTCTCCAGGATAATCGATTATCACCTTTTTGAAAACCGCATAACGGACACAAATAATCAATCATCACTTATGATAATCAATTATCACTGCCAGTTAGGAGATGTCTTTTCAGTTTCTGACCCTGCACGAACTTGGGCTTATAAATAGAGGTCTTCACAGCTCTTAGAATTTAACTTTTCATTTTTTTTTTTTTTTTTTTTGTGCCTAAGGGAAGCTCTCTGTGAGTGAAAAGGGAATCTATTCCATTTTGAGAATACAGTTTGTTTGAGGAAGTTCTCAAAGTGATAGTGTGCTCTTTCCAAGTCTTGTAAAAAGGAGAAGCTCACGCTTTGTGTGTCAAAGGTCGGAGCGATTCTCTTCAAGTTGGCTGAGTTGTCTCTTCCAGTTCGTTTGTCGAAGGAAGGTTCTTTCGTTCGTTTGTCGAACGAAAAGTGTTCTCGTTTCTTAATCTTTACTTCATATCTTGTAATCTATACAAACATTATTTTAGTGAAAAAGGTTAATCATTATTCATAGTGATTAACGACTGGACGTAAAATCTTTTGATTCGAACCAGGATAAAATTTCTGTGTTGATTTTCTTAAACTCTACACTCTTTACACTCTTAGCACATCAACTGTTTGATAAAACGTTTAAGAGAAAATTAAAGGAATCATTTTTAAAATTGACCAAACAAGTTCTTTGCTTTTAACAATCTATATGGTACTCTGTGTTTTTGATATTTCTGCTGCGCAAAAATCTATACCGGTTGTTCCAACATTACTCTCATTAATCGCATCGTTTTAATATATTTAAAGAACATAATTAACATTTATGTAATTAACTCGGTATAAAATATAAACAAAATTGTTAAAAATATTTAATAAAAATATCAATTTTAATAAAGAAGTTTTTAACCAAGCTACCAAAAGGAAAGAAGGTTTTGCAAAACAGGGTCTATAGGTTAAAAGAAGAACGAGACGGTAACAAAAGATATAAGACTAGACTCGTAGTGAAAGGGTTCTAACAAAAATAGGGTATTTATTTCACATAAATTTTCAATCTTGTTGTGAAGATCCCTACCATTAGAGTAATCTTGAATATAGTAGTTGCAGAAAATCTTCATCTAGAGCAGTTACATGTCAAAACTACATTCATATATAGGGATCTTGAGGAGAAAATCTTTATGGCACAACTATAAGGTTTTGAAGAAAAAGACAAGAAAAATCTTAGAGCTGTCAAAATGGGTCACAACCTGCGAGCCAACCCGGTCCACCACAGGTTTGAGCCGGATTGGGTTAGAAAAAATTGTATTTTCTTTATGCGGGTCAGATTTAAACCAGGCTCATTTAAACCCGGCTCATGCGGGTTGAACCCGTGGTGGGCCGGGTTGGCCCACCAACCCACCTTCATAATTTTATTTTATTAAAATTTAATTTTAATTTTATAAGAAAATATTTATTATTTTGTTTTTGCTTGAAAAAGTTATTTAAGTTCCTTATTTTCAAAATTAATTAAACACCCATGTTGGGAGTGAAATTTGTTTAGATTTGTATTATAGAACGTTTGTAATTTTTTTTTATTTAAAAAAATTGTAATTAAGTGAGCTAGTGAGCCAACTCGTTTACCCACCAACCCGTGTTGGGTCGAGCCGGGTTAAAATTTTTCTGGCTCGCTAATAGATGAGTCGGGTTGGGTTGGCTCACTAAGTGACCAACCCGTGGTGGGCCGGGTCGGGTCGGGCCGGGTGGACCATTTTGACAGCTCTAGAAAATCTTGTATGAGAGCTTCATAAAAGCTTGTATGGATTGAAACAAACACCGAGACAATGGTACAAGAAGTTTAATGACTTTATGAGAAACTCAAGTTTTCATATATGTGAAGAAGATCATTGTTGTTATGTGAAAAAATATGGTAATAGTTATATCATCCTTGCTTTATATGTTGATTGCAATAACTAATATGGCATAAATTAACAAGTTGAAGAAGCAATTGTCAGAAAATTTTGAAAGGGAGGATCTTGGCCCAGCCAAACAAATTCTTGGTATAAGAATCTCCAAGGATAGATATGAAGGTAAATTAAACTTATCTTATAAGAAATATATAGAAAAATTGCTTACTAAATTCAATGTTGGAAATGCTAAAACTATGAATACACCTTTGGAAACTCACTTAAAGTTTTCAAAAGGGAAATTTTCTCAAACAAATCAAGAAAAAAGTTACATGTCTAAAGTTCCATATGCATCTGTAGTAGGGAGCTTAATGTATGTTGTGGTTTGTGTCGCAACCGGAATCGCGACGGGACGACGATCCAAAAAAGAAACGCGGGTTTTGAAAAAAAGATTTGGAGTCGCCATCATAATTTATTCTAGAAAACTATGGAAAAACCATAAAATGATAAGGCATGGTCTGTGAAAACCAGATTCTAAGTTCGAGAGTCGGTTACGTGTAGGGAAGGTATCAGCACCCTACAACATTTTCTCGAAGGCAGTACCCTTAATTAAATACGCGAAGACGATGTGGTTTTCAAAATGTTTAACTATCCCCAAAAATAAAACTCTAAAGAAACAAAATATAATTTTTAGTTTTTTAGGCCCGACAAGGATTGACCTTGCTCCTACGTATTCTCATTCAAAATGAGAAATCAGGGTTACGTAGTTCTTTTGAAATTGTTTGAGAAGTTTGTTTGCAAATTGTTTGAAAATTTGTTTGGAATGATTTTGGAGTTTTGGGAAGTGAACCTGACAAGGATTAGCCTTGCTCCTACGTATCTCCACTTTTGATGGAGAATTAAGGATCACATAATTCTAGCTGAAAGATTGTTTATTTGTTTGACAATGTGAATGTTTTAGGTTTTGAAGATTTTATATGTTTTGGATAATTTTTATAAGAAGAAGGTGATGAGTATTAGGCCGACGCGGAGGGTCGCACTACTTGTACCTTTGAAAGACTATTTAATATATATATATATATATATATTATTTATTTAAGAAGAAAGAAAGGTGTTGAGCACAAGGACGATGCGGACAATCACACGAGTGCTCAATCTTTAAAACGATATTTAAATATTTTTTAATTATTTTTAAAAGAAGAAACGAAAGGTGTTAAGCACTAGGACGATGCGAACGATCACACGAGTGCTCAACATTTAAAACAATATTTAAATATTTTTTGATTATTTTTAAAAGAAGAAAGGAAAGGTGTTAAGCACTAGGACGATGCGAACGATCACACGAGTGCTCAACATTTAAAACAATATTTAAATATTTTTTGATTATTTTTAAAAGAAGAAAGGAAAGGTGTTAAGCACTAGGACGATGCGAACGATCACACGAGTGCTCAACATTTAAAACAATATTTAAATATTTTTTGATTATTTTTAAAAGAAGAAAGGAAAGGTGTTAAGCACTAGGACGATGCGAACGATCACACGAGTGCTCAACATTTAAAACAATATTTAAATATTTTTTGATTATTTTTAAAAGAAGAAAGGAAAGGTGTTAAGCACTAGGACGATGCGAACGATCACACGAGTGCTCAACATTTAAAACAATATTTAAATATTTTTTGATTATTTTTAAAAGAAGAAAGGAAAGGTGTTAAGCACTAGGACGATGCGAACGATCACACGAGTGCTCAACATTTAAAACAATATTTAAATATTTTTTGATTATTTTTAAAAGAAGAAAGGAAAGGTGTTAAGCACTAGGACGATGCGAACGATCACACGAGTGCTCAACATTTAAAACAATATTTAAATATTTTTTGATTATTTTTAAAAGAAGAAAGGAAAGGTGT